GGTCCAAACCCTCCAGTTCCTATGCCAACACCGCCAGGTCCAAACCCTCCAGTTCCAGTGCCAACACCGCCTGGTCCAAACCCTCCAGTTCCTGTACCAACACCGCCTGGTCCGAACCCTCCAGTTCCAGTGCCAACACCGCCTGGTCCAAACCCTCCTGTACCTGAAATTCAGGCATAACTTAACTGGTAACCCTATCACATTTTTAATAAAAGCAAAAATAGTTTTACCAGGCTGTGGTGTACGCTATCTGGAAGTTTCGTGTTTAAAAGTTCTTTTTATTATATTTATACCTGCCTCAGAGAAGAAGCCTCTGAAATAAAAAGCATCATGTTGGTTTTAATTAGAAGTGCCGAGAGTATAAGAGTTGGGTTATTGACATCAATCACAGCAATATGTTTTGCTAATAACAACCTACATTTAGATTTGTGTACTTCCTTTACTCTTAAGAACTTGAAAGAACTGGACTTCTTTAAGTTATTTAAAGAAGTTAATTCAGAACTGAAGAAGCCTCTTGGATGAGAGGTGAAACGTCTTTAAATAGTTAACAAAGTCCAGTCGTCTTCTTTTGAGCTCTTAAAAATACCATGGTGACTGAGAACCTACACAGATGAAGTGCATATTTTATCATAACACACAACAGTGAAGGTATCACCACTTGTTATTTATTGCCTTTCAAACAACAGTATGTACATATGTAATGGCTAGCAGATGGTGATTTTTTTTTAATATATAGACAAAGAACTGACAAAAACACACTTCACAAGTGATTAAGTATAAATTCTCACCATGTCCAAAGCCAGCTCCACCTAGTGAGGATGATCCATAGCCTGTCAACAGAAGTTAACAGCTTGAGTATAGCTTATAAAATATTTTCCTAATCATTTTTAATTTTGTGTCTTTACATCAGCATAATGAAAAGAAGAACTGCAGGATTTTAAACAGGAGACAAACATGCAGCAAATTGTCCCAGCTTGGATTTGGATCAGGGGTCTGCTTTTTAGAGTTCTAGTCCTCTGACCACTCAGCTGTCGGGTTCATATATATAATACTTTATTGAATGTTGTTAGTCATAAATACTTGCTTATTATACCTGATTTAGGTGGTTTTACTACTCCACCAGGTCCATAGCTGCTTGGTCCTGTGCCAGCACCACCTGGTCCTATACCACCTGGCCTTGTTCCAGCACCACCCAGTCCGGTCCCAGCACCTCCGGTCCCAGCACCACCAGGACCAGTGCCACCAGGCACAAGGCCACCTGGTCCATAACCTATTCCACCTGGTCCAGTCCCATAGCCACCAGGTCCAAACCCAGTACCACCAGCTCCTGCTCCATAGCCTAAAAATCAAATATTTTAAATGTTTAGTTTCAGTTTTCTCTATACTTCCTTTATGTAGGTTTACTCTGTGTGTTCACTTCATTATACTTTTAGGTGGTTTTCCAGTGCCGGTGCCCAGTCCTGGACCTGTGCCATATCTAGAACCTGGTTAACAGAGCATTTAAAACTGTTAATACTAATAGTTATAAACTATTTAAATTAGATATTTTTGATCAATGTAAACTCACCGTCAGGTCTAACACCTCCCCCAGGGCCTACTCCTGTTCCTCCTGCTCCTACGCCACCATAGCGTCCAGGTCCAGTTCCATATCCACCAGGCCCAGTACCATATCCACCTGGACCGGTTCCATAACCTCCAGGCCCTGTGCCATAACCTCCTGGACCAGTGCCATATCCACCGGGGCCAACCCCACCTTGGCCCCCTGCTCCAAGAGTCCCATATGCTGATGGAAAGAATAAACACCCTGAATGGACTGTGTAGCATCTCTCATAGCTAAAGATTAAACAAAAAGTCTTAATTTAAAAAAGGAGAACATAATTTCTCAGTTTCTAAACCTTTGCCTGGTTTTGTTACTCCAGCTCCAGTAGGGTAACGAATGCCTGTGAGTGAAAAACAAAAATATTCTCAAATGTGGGTTGTTAAATTTGCTGGGATTTAAATGTTAAAGATAGTTTTAGGTAGCGCACCTCCCCCTGGTAAAACTCCAGTACCATAGCCTGTAATAGAAAAATGTGTGAAGTGCATAAACTGGGAATCATTATGTTATTGTATTATAGGAATTTAAGTTTAGCGTGGATACACAAACATTTGAGGACCAAAACATGAGTGCAGCTCACCTCCTGTTCCTACTCCACCAGGCCCACCAGCCCCAGGTACCAAACCACCTCCTCCAGGACCTCCACCCACTGCTCCAGGACCTCTTCCTGCAGATCCAGGACCACTTCCCACTCCTACTCCCACTCCTCCCTGTCCACCACTTGTGCCTCCTGCTATAGGTTTATAAGCTATAGTTTAAAAATATGAAGACATATTAGATGTTTTCCTTCAGTGTGTGGTGTTTTTTTTTATACTTCATGACTGTTTGTTGTAATATTTGTTAGTCATGGCAAGTTGCACACACTGTCAAGAAGTTGGATAGTTAGTTAAAAGGCACAAGTGGCACCTTTAGGTGGTTTTGGTGTTGCTCCAACTGCACCTCCTGAATCAACACCTGTTCCAGTAGCAGGGCTGCCTTCTCTTCCTGTTGATACACCACCTGAAACACTTCCTGCAACTCCTGCACTGGTGGGACCCCTTCCTACTCCTCCCTGTCCACCTGTACCCGCTGTACCACCCCTGTATCCATCAGGGCCTCCTTCTCCATCACCTTCACCTGGTGTGTCACCTCTGGGGACACCTGCAGACAGAACATAGATGGTGTGCGGATGAGTGTTCACCACCATTGCAGCTGATATGACCTTTCTCTTTACAGTCTTTATTCAAAATGGTAGCTATTTTTCCTTTTAGTCTCACTTCTAGTCTTTTCCTATTGCTAATCTTATGATTTGAATCTGTGATCAGTATAAGTAAGTAATCCCTAAACTTAATTTGTAATTGATTATTTTTATCCTGTTTTAATCACCTGGGGGTTTGAGGGGTTTGACTCCAGTCAGATCACCACCAGAACCTGTAAAAGGCCAGATTTGAGAAATAATATTAATTTGTGAATAACTTTGCAAGAAACACATCAAAAAAATGCTGTGCACTGCATCTTGCTTTCATACATCTCACCTGTAGGGGGAAGTCCTGTCCCACCTGAATTTTAAAGAGAAATGTTCAAGAGAGTTGCCAGTGTAAATATGACACAGCAGTGTTTGCTGATATCTTTGTATCTTTCAGAAATCTGCAAGCCACATATAGGCCTACTTACCAACACCTGCACCAGCGGTTTGAAACCAGAAACACTGGTAAGTAAAATCCTGACAGCACTTATTTAAACTTTAGCAGTTTATGGAGGTTTACATACCACTTGGTTGCGCAGCTCCACCAACGACTGTAACAACAGCAGTAACAGCATAAATCAGAAAAAGTTAAGCAACATAATTTCAAAAGCAGATGCTTTGAATTTGTTTCAATTTGCAGCTGTTAACTGGTCTGCCATGCAGTATTCTCTGGTACTCTCAGGTAAACCAGTGACAGCCGTGACAGCATTTTAGTGGAGAAATAACACGAGCCACATCAAAAAGGAGTCAGTGTGTCACTGCATGCTCAGTTTTATATTCAAATGCACATGCTTTTTCAATCTCTATAGTCAAGTACTGTTTAGAATGAGATCTGCTTTCCTTCAAATAAGATCTCAGTGTTAATTATTTATACTAACTTACCAGGGGTCACGCCTGTGGATCCTGTGGAATGTAGGAAGAAAGCTATTAGTTTAACTGTTATAAATTCAAAGAAGAGAAGTGGACTTCCTGTTGCCTCACAGATGTTGAATGCTTTGCAGTTAGAATATATTTCGATGTCCCCTAAAATGTCACCAGTGTTTTAACTCTAATCTTCGTGACCATTAGATTTTGCTCAGTAAATAAAGATCTCCCATCAGGAAATTGTATTGGCACATTACTGACCTGTAATCACACACCCCTAATGCCTCGTAACACTTAATAGAACACAAAGATATTTATTGCTTGCTGTAATCAGTTCATTCAAGTTTTTGGATTTTGAGAGTTGTCATCTGCTGCAGGTTTGGTAGGTGTGAAAATACTGCAGCCAGTTTACACTGAAGAATATCAATAATAAAACATGAAATAAAGAAAAGAACTTAATTTGCTATTGCACACATACACTGGGTGTGTCACGTAAGACCATCAACAAAGCAATGGTGTACAAATACAAAACAAAATGTGCACTAAAGCAAAGTAAGGGGCACGATTTTATATGTAGACAATATTATCTTAAGTATAAAGTACATTATTTACCACATCGCACTCAGATTACTATAGTATGAATATATTTATCTCTTCTGTCTTTCTGTCCGTAAACATGATGGCTCAGTGTAGAGTGGGGTTATCTTAACCATCCATTAAAATTTGGCTTGCATCCACCAAGATCTTAAAAATCAACTCAGTGATTTATTGGTTGAAAAAAGCTGTATGACTTAAAAACCATAACTCTTAGAAGTGTGGTGCCTATTGTCAACATATAGAGTACCATATAAAGATTTAAAATATCATCTCACATTTGACCTCTGACCTCTCATTCAGTTTCAATAGGTTGATCAGAAACTCAAAGTGACTGTAAAGCTATAAAGAGGTATTTAAAACAGTGATTCTTACTGCCATCGTTTGTACTGACAGCATGTGAGCATATAGGGATGATACATGGGGATTGTAAATGTCATGTTATTTTGGACCTCTGAGCTCATTTTAAACTTCAATTACGGTCAATCTTTCATAAAATGTCTTTTATCTTTAAAACTATGCTTTCTACCTCCGTTTGTTTGCATTGGCAACATTTAGGGCATATTCCCAGTTTTATATTTTACATCTTCTTTTCTTTCAAGTTGACCCCAAACTTTTTTTTTTATCTTTCAAGAAAGTATTTTCGGAGTTTCTGCAATCAAAGTTAACATTGGATACCCTTACCTGATTTTTACTGCACTACAAACATCCTAAAGTACATTTAAAAAGAATTTAAAAAGCAAAATAGATATCTACATTATACAATGCAGTTCCCTCAAAAGTAAATGCTGCGCTGGCTTGGTGGACATTTGCTCTCATGGAGTGCTTGTTGTTTTAGATCTACTAGTCTGTAATATTATTTATTTGCTGATTAGTAACTGGATGAAATTTGTTGGAGAAAAGATTAAAAATGTTTTAGTAATGGTTGAATATGTTAGTCAAAATCTGAATTTGTGGCAACCATGTTGTATGGTAAATGGTAAATGGCCTGTATTTATATAGCGCTTTACTAGTCCCTAAGGACCCCAAAGCGCTTTACATATCCAGTCATCCACCCATTCACACAGACATTCACACACTGGTGATGGCAAGCTACGTTGTAGCCACAGCCACCCTGGGGCGCACTGACAGAGGCGAGGCTGCCGGACACTGGCGCCACCGGGCCCTCTGACCACCACCAGTAGGCAACAGGTGAAGTGTCTTGCCCAAGGACACAACGACCAAGACTGTCCAAGCCGGGGCTCGAACCGGCATCCTTCCGATTACAAGGTGAACTCCCAACTCTTGAGCCACGATCGCCCATGTATACTTCAAATGGCCACATGGTGGCACTGTCCACCCCCAAATGTAAGAAATCCAGCTCTTTTGATTCACAACAAATGTAGCTGAAATCTGTATAATGACTTGAACAGGAAAGCAGTGAAAGACAAAGACACAGCTACTGATGCACAGAAATGGATAAATACAGAATCTCTGACCTGGAAGTGTTGTCCCGTTGATTCCTGTTATATACAGATAGATTAAATAACATAAATTGAAGTAATACTGCTTAGATGACAGAAAGTTTCAACTAATATACAACTTTTAAACTAATACTGGTATTTCTGAAACACGTGGTTCAACCAGTAACTAAGTAATTATGATATGCATATATCTATATCTCTGTAGCATGAATGGCCAAAAATACCTGGCTTGGGTCCAATGATGGGGATTCCTGTTCCACCTAGACGATCTCCGTCACTCCCTGTACCCGCTGGTCTGCCACCGACACCGGTACCTCCTGTTTTAATAATTATGTAGGAATCTTTTCACATCTGAAAACTTATTTCGAACAAATATTTACAAATTAAGGTTTCTTTTTGTTGCTGTTTGTTTTTTTGTGTTGCTTCTTTGTTTGTGCACCATCTTCAGCAACCATCAGAATTCCTGACCTGATTGATTGTGAGAATTGTCATATGCACAAAAGTCTGTGGATGATTTCAACATAAGAAAATGTTCTCAAGAATCCAGAGAGTTTCACACACCCTCTCCACCAGGACTTCCAGACCCCTCTATCACAGTGTAAATATCATCACCTGAAACAAGGACAGAATAATAAAAGGACTGAGATTAGAAACTAGCACTCCATGTAATGTCTGGAATGATTAGTAATATAAATTTAAATAGTCAAATAAAACGTGTTTGCATATTGATTGTGTGTGTTTACTCTAACACTGCACAGATACCTTCTGTTGCCGGGGTTGGTGTGCCTCTTGTGTCTTCAAGTCTTCCTCCTGATCCAGCAATAGACAATTGAACTCGTAAATTGTGAAAATGATAGTTAACTGTAATATGATCTTTTTTTTTAATCCTTAGCACAGAGGCTCACCACTTGTTCTGGTTGTTGTCTGGTTGGTGTCAGTGGTGGTTCCATTCGCTGAAACGCCAGGGCCGGTCCCTGTTCCTGCTCCTGTAGTGCTGGTTCCAGTTCCTGTCCCAGGTACAACTCCACCAGGTTGCCCTACAGATTATAAAAGAGGTAAATTCAAAAGAGGTGCTTAAAAAGTTAATTTATTATTTTCCACTTGACACAGACTTGTCAGACTACACCTTACCAAACTTTGCAGCTTTAGATCCAGCCGTGCCGTAGCCTGAGGATCACAACAAATCAAATGTGGTTAAAAAAAAAAGTAAAAAACATTATTTTAAGTAAACATTAGAAACAACAGGAATAGTGAGTGTGTAGCTTGTTGTATATTACTTTTCCTGAATGGAATGATTTCTTTTTGTACCTAATTTTCCTTGCTAACTTTGAAACAAACAAACAAAAAGAAATGAGCAACTAATATTTTAGCTTTTAATAACCCTCGGAGCACTCCAAGTACTCCACCTGTGCCAGCTCCACCTGGGCCTTCATCAAAATCATATGAAGATATTTTCACCATTATTCACGAAGTAAGAGAATTCAGTTTGAAAAAAAAAACAAAAAAACATTCATACCATATTTAGCAGGTTTTAATCCAGGTCCATAACCTGCAAATACACATAAAAAGTTTCATTTTAAAGATTCTAAAGAGCTACAATCAGAATTGTCTAGCAAAATTATCATTGCTTCCTAAACCTGGTCCAAATCCAGTCCCTGGTCCTAGACCATAACCTCCACCTGGTCCATAGCCTGTGCCAACCCCAGGCCCATAACCACCAGGTCCATATCCTCTTCCAGTCCCTGGGCCCGTGCCACCACCAGGAAGACCTAGGAAGGTTCAAAAGTGTGTGAGTAGTTTATCTATAAAAAAAGCTTAAAATATCTTTAAAAAGAAAAACAATTTCTAACCATGGAAATATTTTAAATATTGTTGCTGTTTAAAATTTTATATCAAAAATGATTTAATTCTAATTGACTGATTATAATTCCTACCAAAATCTGATGTAAGAAACTTAAAATTATTGCCTTCATTTAATTATAAAATTACATTATATTTTGAACTCTTCCTGTGTTAATGCTCATGTATATTACATTAGTTTGCACTATATTTAGACTTGGGTCCCTCTGCATATCCTGTGAGATAAGCACGAGGGGACAAATCCTTTAAAGCTAAGTGTATCATATTTAGAACTATAAGACAGGCGTTTCATGTCTGTACCTCCAGCACTGCCTGGTCCAAATCCACCTGGTCCAACTCCTGTCACAACACCAGACCCCGGTATACCACCTGCCCCGAGTCCTAGCCCCGGTCCACCACCTGTTGACACTCCACCTTGTCCAGGAACCCCTACTCCAACTCCAAGCCCAGAACTAGGCCCGGTTCCTCCTCCAAGGCCTCCTGCACCAAGGGCACCTCCAGTACCTCCAGGAACACCTGCAGAGAGCAGGATTTTTTGAGAAAACAAAAACTTGTCAGATCCACAGACTTGTCAGATGTCAAAACTAAAGGTGTGATTAGTAACATTCATTAGAAGTACATAGTTGTGTGAGTTCAGGTGGATATTCTGATATTCTCTATACATATATTTTATGAAATTGCAAATTTACTGCATCAATGTCATCAGACATTTAGTAGGTTGTTTCTTACCATATTTGCGCGCTTTGGCTCCAGCATAACCTGCAAACGCATCAGCATTAGTTTTATATTAGCCAGTGGACCCATTTTAATTCTGACATGGCTCCTTATTTCTCTTCTATCATACCTCCAGGTCCATAGCCAGCACCACCGGGTCCAACTCCACCTGGGCCATAGCCAGCACCACCGGGTCCAACTCCACCTGGGCCATAGCCAGTACCAACTCCACCTGGCCCAACTCCACCTGGGCCGTAGCCAGTGCCAACCCCACCTGGTCCAACGCTGCCTGGACCGTAGCCAGTGCCAGCACCACCTGGTCCAACTCCACCTAGGCCAAAGCCAGTGCCAACTCCACCTGGTCCAACTCCACCTGGGCCATAGCCAGTTCCAACTCCACCTGGTCCAACTCCACCTGGGCCATAGCTAGTTCCAACTCCACCTGGTCCAAGTCCACCTGGGCCATAGCCAGTGCCAACTCCACCTGGCCCAAGTCCACCTGGGCCATAGCCAGTGCCAACTCCACCTGGCCCAAGTCCACCTGGGCCATAGCCAGTGCCAACGCCGCCTGGGCCAACACCGCCTGGGCCAACGCCACCTGGGCCATAACCAGTTCCAGCACCACCTGGCCTTAGTCCTCCAGTACCTGTTCCTGGACCGCCAAGAGCCCCACTTAACATACCTTTCAGGAGAAAATTGTTAATTTTTAGCTACTTTGATTTATTTTGATGAATAATCTATAATAAATAGAGAAATTATGTCTTACCATATTTACGAGCTTTGGCACTGGCATCATACCCTGAAATAAAATTATAGTATTTATGTATATTGTATGTCTTTGATAATGTCATAGATTTGGTTTCATAACTGCACATTCTCAAGTTAGTGTTGATAGTAGTGTACAATATAGTTTATGTATATTTTAATATTTAATATGAGATTTTAATATAGTGATTCATAATTACCCCCAGGTCCCACTCCTACTGACCCAGTGCCAGTACCACCTGCACCATAGCCAAGACCCCCTGGTCCAGTGCCAGTACCACCTGGACCATAGCCAAGACCACCTGCTCCAGTGCCAGTACCACTGGGACCATAGCCAAGACCACCTGGTCTGGTGCCAGTACCACTGGGACCAAAACCAACTCCAGAGCCAGGTCTCACACCTCCAAGGCCTCCAGATGTGCCAGTACCTGAGCCACCTGGACCAAAACCATAGCCACCACCTGCCCCTCCTGTTCCAATTCCAGAACCAGGCCCTCCTGCAGTCCCGACACCTCCACCACCTGGAGAAATTTAAGGCACTTCGAGTGTTGCAAACAACACATATTCATCATGTAATTTGGGTATTTTACAGAAATGAAGAAACGTGTCTCACCATATTTGCGTGCTTTGGCTGAACCTGGGCCATAACCTGTGGCCATGTCAGAATACAAAGTTACCAAACTACAAAAGGACCCATTAAACCCCAATAAACATATTTAATTTCAAATCTTGTTTGTTGAAGAATTTTCAGAATTTATAAATAACATCTATGAATAGAAGATTTCTGAATGGATGCATGATGTAACTTTGACAGGAGTATGGAATTACCTAAGCCTGGTATGCCACCACCTACTCCAGGGACACCTCCAGTTCCAACTCCACCTCCAAATCCAGGGACACCTCCAGTTCCAACTCCGACTCCAAATCCAGGTCCAGTTCCTGTTCCAACTCCACCTCCAAATCCAGGTCCGCCTCCTGTCCCAACACCGCCTCCAAATCCAGGTCCCCCTCCTGTTCCAACTCCACCTCCTGTTCCAATACCGCCACCTGTTCCAACTCCGCCTCCAAATCCAGGTCCGCCTCCTGTGCCAACTCCACCACCTAACCCAGGTGAGACTCCCCCTCCAGGAACTCTTCCAACCCCACCCCCAAAAGTGCCTCCTTGACCAAGCGCGCCTCCAGCTCCACCTCCATAAATACAAATTTAAACAAAGTATTTTTCTATTAGACCACAATTATTCAGTTACTTTTGCATTATTGATGTTGAAAATGAGGCTTACACCTCAACTGTGGTCTGTACCGTATTTAGCTGCAGCTTTGGCTGGATTCTTCTTGGATTTTCCCACTCCTGCAAATAAAATAAAAAAAGTTGAATTTTTCCTTTCCTTTTTGTCCTGCTGGCCTGTAGCGCTACATGCTGGATCTTCTTCATGTCTCTGCTTCTCTTACCTGTTTTTGGTGATATGAGGGGATAACCACGAAAAATCCCAGGCAATGGCTGTCCTCGCCCATCTAAGGTGAGAGATAGACTTTACACAGAAGCCCTTTAAGGTTCTAACTTGCTGCCATTCACTAATATTTTTTTAAGGTCATAATATTTAAAAGCCAATTAATGCACAACAGTTGTACTTGTAATATCACACAGCTTTTAGGTTTAGGCTTTATGATGCTTACTGCCTGCACCTCCCGGTCCAGTGCCACCCTGACCAAGTACTCCAGCTCCTGCAGGGAACAAGGCAACGTGTTTTGTTTTTTTTTGAAGATGAGATTTTACAGTATTCACAAAGTTCATGTACATACCACTCTGAGTTCCTAGTCCAGTTCCTGTAGCCACTCCAGGGAGAACACCACGGCCTCCAAACCCTGATCAGAGAAGACGGGATAACACTTGCAACCTCTTCTGTAAACGAAATCTCTTATACTAATATATTGTTTATTTTATCGTACCATCGTGCATTTATTTATCATATGTTTGATATGTTTCAACATACCTTGGCCTGGGACAAATCCACCTTGATAGAGTCCAGGCACGCCAATGCCTGTGTGACATCATATTAACGCAATACCCCACCGCCACCCAAAAAAATCAGTGTTTCTGGTTTAAATTTAGAACTGCAAAGCCTTTTGCATTCTTGTTTTTGTGTTGTGATAAGTTTACCTGGGACTTGCTTTGATGCTTTTCCACCACTCTTTACCCCAGGTCCTCCTCCAGTGGTACCAGTCTGTGGCAATGTTGGAACTGAAAGAGGAAAAATGTTTTCTATAGACAAAAGTTTCATCAACTTTAAAAAGTAAGACACAAACTACTTGAAAATTCAGAATAGTATGTTTTACAAATAGCGGGAAATGTGGCATGCACTGTTTAAATGTCAATTTATTATTACGATTTAATCACAAAAGCTTTCTTTTTATTGTTGAGGAAATGTATGTATATTATATACCTCCACCAGGCCCAACTCCTGCACCACCGGGGCCAAATCCTGTTCCACCAGGCCCAAGTCCTGCACCACCAGGGCCAAATCCTGCACCACCAGGCCCAAATCCTGTTCCACCAGGCCCAACTCCTGCACCACCGGGACCAAATCCTGTTCCACCAGGGCCAAATCCTGCACCACCAGGGCCAAATCCTGTTCCACCCGGCCCAACCCCTGCACCACCAGGGCCAAATCCTGTTCCACCCGGCCCAACCCCTGCACCACCGGGACCAAATCCTGTTCCACCCGGCCCAAATCCTGTTCCACCCGGCCCAACCCCTGCACCTCCAGGCCCAAATCCTGTTCCTCCAAGTGTTGTTCCAACTCCACCTAAGATGAAAAAGAAAGATATGATATCATAGGTCAGTCATATAGTATCATCTAATATTAATTCATAAACATATAGTACCTACCTGTTTTAGGAGGTTTGGGACCAGTTCCACCAATTCCTGGGTATTGAACTCCTCCACCTGGTCCATAACCACCTCCATATCCACCTGTGTTAGACCAGAGTGTTATTTGCTACATATGCATCCTTAAAGGCAAGCAGTTTATATTTATGTTTACCACACATTAATCATATTTCATATTTCAGCCATTTCCAATGCTTTGTGTGGTATGTACAGTATGCCTATGGTATTTGGATCACAGAGATCCAGCATGTATAAAGGTAAGTATTTAGCTGATATACATGCAAGAGCCACGCTGATACAGACATATGAAATCTGCTGACCTCCAGGTGTGTAACCTGTTCCAGCTCCAAGTCCTCCACCAGTCCCAGTACCTCCTGCTCCAAGGCCTCCAAACCCTGGTGAAAAAACGTAAAGAAGGAGCACTTAGTACTACCTAAATTTCCAAACACCAGTTAAATCATACACTAACTAATTTTGTGCAACTTGATGCTTTTGTACTATTACACATTTATGTCTGCCCAAGACAAAACTACAGTTTTTAGAGTCATAAACTCTAAAACCTCTTAAACCTCCGGCTTTAACAGTAACTGAATCAATTACAGCTGGTCAAAGAGAGGAATCAAAAGCCTCTAAAGAGATATGAATGAAAATAAAACATGTAGCATAAATAAAATTCTGCAACTTCCCGTTAAAACAGGTGCTGCTGTTCATGCTTCGTATACAAATTAGGTCATTTCGAGCTTCACACAAGAACTTTTTTCTTTGAAATATAATTTAATTGTCATTGTGTTCGTTTGCATAATTTTGGCTTGCAATGGTTTCCATTTTTGGAACTTACTTTTATTCATAATGCATGCCTTCTATTGCTTGCCTATGTTTACATGTACCTCCTCAGAGTGGAACATGCAAACACACACACACACAGACACACACACGCACATACTTAGTGTACATAAACATGCAGTGAGGATGAAAAATGTGTTCACTGAGATGGCCAGACATCAGTAAACTGGAAAATATGATATGTGAATCTGTTTCCTTTGCTTACACTTACCTGGACTTGGTTTGTTTACACTTTCTAAATAAAGGCACAATAGATGGATTTCAAAATGTTACACAAAGCCGATGTTTAACGTCTAGGATTAGTTTGGATATTGTCACTTCCATGATTTGGGGGATTGAAAACAGAATGGACTGAAATTCCAAAACATATCAGTCTTTCTGACTCATGTAATGACTTTTTTCCTTCATTGGGAGTCTGCCAAGCCTAATGGATCAGCCTTTATCGCTGTATGTGTCTGTACTGATCAGGCTGGGTCCCCACCAACAGTAAACTAGAAGACAGAAGATATGAAATGAAGGTACATCGATGCTGTTCTTATCCTGCTCCCTGGAATTAACCAGAGGCTGAACACAGATCCCCCAACTTTAACATGTACTATGTAGAGATGGCACGATACCACTTTTTTATGTCCGATACCGATACGTAAAATAGCAGATTGCATTATTAATACTTGATTTTTTTTTCACGAGTAATCTCTTTGTGAAGTTAATGTATTAATTTATGTTTTATATTATTTATCAAATATGCCTGTCACTTGTTGCTGAGACACACTGTTGTGCTGAAAATCTACAATTTATGATATGCTACCTGTACCCCCCCAAAAAAAAGAAAAAAAAATCATGATGAATATGCCTTGAGTGCCGGTTCCAAAACCTCCTGGACCAACTCCTCCAGGCCCAGCTCCGTAACCACCAGGACCAACACCACCTGCTCCAAAACCACCCGTCCCGACTCCGCCTGGTCCTAGTCCTGTTCCACCAGTACCATAGCCGCCTCCTATTTAAATAAAGGAGAAATCACCTTGAGCTCTTAGAGCCATCAGAGTGATCTATAAGTTGACTTTTTGTTGCATAAATTTCATGACATTTGAAGATTTATTGAAAAAACAAACAAACATATTACCTGTTTTTGGAGGCTTGACACCTTTAAGAAGAAAGTAATCAGGACAGTTAGGTGAAAAGTAACAGAAGGAAAAACTTTGCTCTTTGCAGATAATTAAATCAATCAATAAATCAAGAAGTAAACAAAATATCTCACGACTATATTTGTCTTACCAGTCCCAACGCCTCCAGGTCCCAGTCCTCCAGGACCAAAGCTGCTGGGCCTAAAACCTCCTGGTCCCACTCCTCCTGGTCCCAGACCCGGTCCAACTCCACCTGGTCCCACTCCACCTGGTCCGACTCCTGGGCCTACACCACCTGGCCTTTGACCCCCATAGCCCCCTGAGGAATAGAGTGATTGTGAGTTGAAAGCACAGAAAGATTGATGTAGATGACATGTGTATGTAGAAAGCTGAAAAGCAGCCAAACATCATAGGCAAATTTATGGCCAGATTTTGTTCTTGTTGTTGAACACAACATGAGGAATTCATTATTGGTGAGACATGAAAACATAGCGTGGCGTTTAAAGCTTTTTCATGGCTTGTAACCTGGAACTCCTCCAGTAACTGATTTCATTTAAACAGAAGGTATAGAACATTTGAAAAATGGTGCTTGTGTAATTGACGATAAATCTTAAATCTTTAGCTATTTTTATGAGAACAACTGCATCTGAAAGGAATGCTGATTACCTGTAGCGGTCCAAGGATAAGTTGAAACATGTCAGCCAGTGTTTCTGTGCAGCTGCAGTCAGATTCAGTAAAACTTGGGGAGAAACTCTCAAACCTACCTCCACCAGCTCCTGGTCCAAAGCCTCCTAGAGCAGTACCAGTGCCTCCTGGTCCACCTCCTCCAGGCTGAAATCCTGTCCCAATGCCTCCTGGTCCAAATCCGGTTCCAGCTCCTGGCCCGACTCCTCCAGTCGCACCTCCAGCAGGTACATATACCCCTGTTCACAGTGTGCAAAAGCAATGTGTTTAATATTGTAGGTTTTTCTGTGCCTGTAGAAATATTCTGCTATAAAAAAACAGTGGGTATTATTGATAAAATAAAGTTGCACAGTTCTTTTTATATGAGCAGACAAAGCCATTTACATCACCCTACAAACACAGCAATTTATTGGTGACCATGTTTCGGGCTCCTGACAGAATTTGTGGAATTTGTGAGTCATCTGTCGGCGCTAATAGGGCATAATTTTCACCTCTTTGCAGGATGTAACCCATTTAATTTGCCTAAACACCAAGGATTACATTTAACAAATAGAATCTAATGCCACACAAGCAGGGAGATGATGAAAAGTGTGGAAAGCATGTACGTGTGCGCTTGTCCGCAACGATTATCATCTCTTTGCTCCATATCCGAGTTTCTCTGCAGCCAATAACAAACGCTGTTTCATACAAATGGCATGCTTTGGTCACAATTCTCACACTTTTTTGCACCTATGTTGTTTTCAAATCACAACAACCAAAAATAGAACCAGGGAGCGTGAACAACTATAAAAGGAAAGGCTTTCTAAGATCCCACAGTCCAGATGTGTAAAGGTCTGTAGGGATTCCTAAAGAATGTGGGTTACTGATCTCATAGTGTTGCCATGTACAGCACATTTCCAACACAGTAAATAACTTAACTGTTCGGTCATTCAGCTCTGCCGGCTAGATTGTTCTGGACAGGCTTGCCAAAAGGCTTTTGTTGTTTTTGGAGGAATTTTTATTGGAATTAAACATTGGACAGGACAGGTATGCTCTCAAATTCACCAGAGATTTGGTCACTGTTTGGAAAGGGATTTTTCTTCAGGGTCATTAATAACTCATTAGTGAAGTAATAATGCCTGCCACATTTAATTGCTAAGTCCATATACAAATATTACTGTTTTAGGCCATGCTAGCCTAACTGCGGGAACCCCAGAGGACAAATTCTGATGAATTTGGTGATTATTTCCTTTATTACAATCAACAGGTTTACATCTGAGCTTCAGATTAAAACTGGTCTTTCATTGTTTTGGATGTTCTTCAATGCACTTTGGTGAGCTGGTTGTTTTTGCAAGTTTTATTCCCATCACCGGGTTTCAATTAGTTCAATATCTTGTTTTATAGCACCCAACAACTTGGATTAATTTGCAAGGAGTTATAACTTCACAGAGTCTGAACTTCAGTTTTGTTATTTTAAAGCTCAGAAAAAGTCACAGTATGTCTGATGGCTCACTTAACATCCAAATCCAGTGATCATATTTCACTCAAGGCAGGAAAACCTTTTGTCATGTAATCCTCTTTTCACTTCTCATTTCCTGCTATCGCAACACTGACTCTTACCTAATTTAGAAAGACAAAAACTTAAGTAACACTTCCTGTATCCAGCAGCTTAATTGTGCGCTCTCTGTATGCTGGCCTTTTTTTGTCACTGAAGTCATCACGCAATGCAGACTTCAGGAGGTAGGTGGTCCTATCAGATAAAGGCAAAAAAGCAATCTGGCATTCTTACCTTATTTTTGGCTTCTGCTTCTAAAACTCACACAGTTTAACTTTTGCTGTACCCTATAAAGTCTGTGCTGAGGTTTTCAATTTATTTTTGGCTTGAGGTACCATTTCAAAGAATGCAGATGTTGAGATCCCAAGCAAGACCAAAACAAAGAAGCTAAACAGCAGATACCATCTCCTTGCTTTCCAGTGATCGTGCAGTGGTTCAGCCTGACCTCGAGTGAATGCAAATTACACAACAGTCTAGAACAGCTCTTAAACCAGCGGATGTCTCGTCTAACAAGACAGGAAGAGTTGAGGGGGAACCTCTTCAGATCAGCTGGCTCAAAGCTTAAACAGACAAGACAATGAAAAGGCATCTTGGAGGGATGAGGTCTGGAGCACACAGTTTGAATTAAACCTTTTAATACGGTGAAACACCTCATTAAAAGCTTTAAGTATAACCCTGTTGTCCAGACCTCATGCCTCAGGAGCTGACTGTGAGAAAATAAATACACCTGGGCTTTGAGAAGTTATTTGTCTTAAGTGTGTCATCCTTAATTTACGCGTTCACCTGCTTCAGCACTTTCTTCCAGACAGATGAGGGGGGAGGAAACTAGCATTTGGAAAGTTAAAGCAGCAATATCTTAGAATCACTCAACAAATCATTGTCTTCTTGATTTATTGTTAAGAAAAAAATGCACTTTTTATGAACATATAAGGCATGTTGACTGCAAGGTCAATGTAGTATTTTCAGAAGGCTGCAAATGAATTTGACTAAGAAAACCATTTTTAGACTTTAAGTTCTTCAGAGTTGAGATGGGACAGGCTGCAGACATGTTGGTAATGATGCTACACTCATGGTGCTAAGAAATAGCTTCTTCAGTCAAGTAAATTTAGCTCTGTAGTAGATTTTTGGACATTGAATACAATGTGCTTTCACTGAGGAAATCGATGGTATAATAATAGAATAATTGTTAGCAGCCAGTTTATAAATGCAAAACCTCTCACAGATCTCATAGAACATAGACAAACAAAGAAAAAAAAGAGCTGTCCATGAATTTCTCTTTTACAAATGCTAAAGAAACTTTATGTGACACCTGATCTCTACTGGGTGCCACACACATGCAGTAAAGGGGACCCACCTCCTTGCAGCGAGGGTTTCCACAGAGCCAGGAGAAGGACTCCATGCAGGTATGTGGCCACCGTCCCTCTTGCCATCCTGCTCCAAAATGTCCCTCTCCTCTCCCAACTTGCAGGTTTTATCCCCAGCAAGCCTATCAGGGCTTACCGAGGCCTTCAGAAAGAAGGAGGGAAAATGAGTGTGAGCATAAAAAAAGAGGGGGGGGGGAATGCAAAACAGGACAGTGTGTAATTGGCTAAAGACAGAGAAAGAGAGCGATAGACAAGGAAAGAAGGGGAGAGGGAGAGAAAACACACTGGATCACCTCATTAAAGCAAATGGGTTGTGCTAACCCCCCAGACTGTTGGGATGCATTTATTTTGCTCTTTGCTGCCAAGAAAAGAGAGTACGTAGGG